AAATATAGAGGCAAAAATTAAAAAGTAACATTGAAAAAAAGTTCATCGTGAAAAAAGTCAGGGTATTAACTACAGATGCTTCTTTTTAAAATTAAAGTTTAATTTAATTTTCGCTTGTAAAATTTAATCATATATGAATTAAAAAAATGAAAAAAAGATTTTAAATATTCCTTTTCTGGTCATTCACTAGTTCGTCTAATTAAAACGAAGCAAATATCATTTTGTTTTCATCTTGAATCATTTAAAGCCATATATGGCGTATGTACAATGAAAATTATTAGACTGAAATTATAAAAAAACTTATTATTTGTATCATTAATTTATATAAACATGATAAAGATAGAAATTTTCCGTAAATTACAAAATCTAAGTCAATTGTGTTATAAAGTTATCAAAATTTAATTTGGATTCTCGAAATTTTCTCCGACTTGGAAGAAAATACAAAAGATTTAAATAACACATTACAGAGAAGATAAAATCGTATTATTAGATGAAACGAGGTGTTCTCCGTGCTCCGAATTGTATGAAAAGCTTTAATTTAAATGTATTAACTATATTTCTTTACTTAATTTTGTATTTTTCAAAAATATATTTTTTGATCAGTTACGCCATATATGGCTTTAAATAAAAAAAAGGCGCAACATAATTGCATGACACTTATCATTGAGCTGATTGAGTAAATGTATATAATTTTAATAATGAGATATCTGTGAGGCATATATGTACATGCAAATATTGCTATATTAAACAAAGGAAAGGGGGGAAATTCAAATTAGGGGGAAAAAAAGATCGTTTTTAAGTAAATCAGTCCGGTAGTACTGCAAAATGGATGCAGTTGTGGAGATTTATGGATAATAGGATAATAGGAGCATGCTGTCTGGAATATTTCCATATAGGGAATTTAATAGCAAAAAGGAGTGAAAATACCGGTGGTGCTTTTCATGCATTACATGTGTATTTTAAAATTCCTAATAGCCCAAGGGGATTCCTCAGTGCAGAAAACCACTAGCCCCATCCTCAAAAATGGAAGCCCCGGGTGTAGCGCGATGCTAATTACACACCCATCATGTGAAATAGTTATAGTAGCCCTATATCAATTTCAGTATTGTTTTAAATTAATTAAAACAAATGCCAAAAACAATAATTTAAAAAAAATCAAAATAAAGCAGACACTCAAAATCAAAGGCAGAAAGAAGCACTGTTTTGACTGAACGTTTTTCAGTAATACAATGAATCTCTTACATATCAGATGAAATAAACTTACATACAATTATTTAGTTGTTGTCAATTATCCCATTTATCATCATCTCAGCTCACTTTGCGATTGTAATACTGTCTACATGAACCGATAATTTACAGCTGATTTATGAAAACACGATTGTTAAAATTTTCATTTCCCTTTCCAATATACACTGTCAGAACATACTTAATTGGTTATGATATAAAATTAAATAATTAACACTTTCGATTTATTAAAGATTATCTAACAATATACGATCATTTACTAAATACTTCTCGCCCTCAAGAGAGTTAAAAAGACAGAGAAAATTCAAAATACATACAAGTGCAACTTAGTATTAATTGATCCGATATATCTATTTTAATTTTGTGCACAATTGTTTTCAAAATTACATTAAAATCAATTTTCTTTAAACAAGAACCCAGCAATAGATAAATATTAATCGAATAAACTTACCCTTTTTCTTGTCAATCAGACAATCTTGTTGACATTAAGTGTTTCTTAGTCGCCATATTTTTTTTCCATGAAAACAAACGTTGTTATGATCCGGATCAACGGAAGTTGATTTTCGGAACTCTCGAGAATTTAGAGTTCCGAATGTAAAACTGAAACACAAAACACGGTGCGTCCGTGAAAGCAACTTTTTTGGACACTTTTTTGGACAAATCGTCGTGTCCAAGTTTTGTTGGGTACTAACCTGCAAATACCCAATTAGGGTGTTTTAAGCATATTCAGCGACACTTCTTATTGGGTATACCCAATAAGCAAAAAGTACCCAATAAGTACAATCCTGGCATGAAAAATACCCAATAAATGCACTCTCGTAAACACGTACAGACGGACGGACGGACGGAATTAACGATTACTATATACCCTCCCGCTTTTCAAGCGGGGGGTATAATAATGGTACAGAAGACTTGTTTTGATAAGCGAATTAACACTATTCGTGTACCAAAAAGAAAAAAGAAAGAAAACAACGCACATCAACTCATTGAATCAACATATGTCTAGAATCGGCATAAAATCAGCTTCGACATAATAAATCTCAATATGCATATCAATTTCTCTAGCTTGTTGACATTTATCTTAGAATTGCCCACAATGATCTAATTTTAAAACAGCAAAAGTTAAATATCCCGATCAGGATCAAGACAAGGTAAATTTTGAAATATTTTTTGGCCTTTCCCGAACTAGGATGACAAAACTGAGTCGCTTGATAGGTGAAAAAAATCTTTTAACAAGATAATTTCAAAATTAATGCTCAATATTCAAAATCTATTTTCTCATAATGCATAAAATAAATTTTTAATTTTCATGAGTTAAATAAAGTTGTAGGTTGTTCATGTTTCGCCGTTTGGTAGAGGACAACCAAACATATATTTTTTTAAGATGGCCGAGAGGCACTTGCTTAATCAACAAGGAAATAAAGCATACACGCAGAATTAATCTTACTGAATTACATTATTTTTACACCAGCTTAGCTTGTATCGTTGTATCATGAAAATTTATCATATAATATCCACCAGTGACCCTACTCCTTTGTTTGAGCGCTTCATTATTTTTCAGGGATAAAGTGTTGTAAATAACATTGGAAACGGTATTTGTTGCTCTTTTTCTCCTTTCCCTTCCTGTACTGAAGAGAGACCTTAGAAAATTTCATCAATTTTATTATCACATTAAGAAATTAAATGAGCCTGCGCTGAAAATCGAACCCGGTTTGTACATATGTACTTAAATTTAAGTCTGGCACTTATTTCACTGAGCTAACGAAGCTGTTGAATGACATTGGATTAGAAAACAATTCAGTGAGCTTATTTTGCTTTACTTTCTCACTATATTTAAATTATATACTACTAACAGGTCCAGCGCAATACCATTACTTTTAAGGGGATGAAGGACCTTTAGCTGAAAAAATACCTGTCATTTAATTTTTTTCATATTTTGTATATATCTTATTTAGTATGTCCTACATACTATAAAGCAGACATATCAATAGGTTTCTAGACTTCTTTCTGAGATATTGAGTGACAAATACCATACCCCACAGTATCTGAGCGGAGTTTTTATTCTCCGTGTTTCTGGGTCCATTACTCGGTCGATAATTGAAATTTTTCACCATAGATAAAAAATATACCAGCGGAAATTTGTCTTTTAAAATATTGTAGAGTATGAATAGGGTTAAAAATTCGAAAAAGCAAGATTCTTTTGTAACACCACATCTGGAGACGGAAATTGACGACTTTTTTAGGACAACTTAAACCATAAAAAAATTAATTTGCAAAAAATCCTATCATTCAGTATTTGAAAATTTACGTCGAAGTTCAAGGTCGTCATTGTATTGATTAAATGTAAAAATATCGATTGGTGAAGCTGAGCTCAACATTGCACGGGGCAAAGTTAAACGAGTCATGATCATGAGAAAAACTTGTCATGTTTACATTTCTCGAGTACGGGAAAACCCAACTATGACGTCACACATTCCTGAAATAAGCGAAATAAGACTAACCCACAGAACTTTTCCGTCAACAACCATGTAAAAATATTTTTTGCGTTCTGAAATTTACAAAATACCCTACCATGTACATATTATGGCCCGTTTTTATGATTTTATACTACCCGTTTTTACCGTGTATGATCTTACTGAACTAAGAGATCCACTATGACGTCAAAGACGCGCTGGACGCGCAGAGTACGGAAACGGCAGAGTGGATAAATCTATTCCGTAATTTGATAATATTTGCAAGAAATTTTGAACGTTTTCAGATATTTTAATACTAGATGGTGAACGCAAACAAACAGTCAAAAAAATTTTACAAGTACTGTGGTTTCAATCACGTTTTGTACATATTTTATCAGAGATTATGACGTAATTCAACTGAGTCACGTGACCATACATCCTTCATCCCCTTAAGGAATGAAGCCAATCGCATCATACCGGGTATTTACGTCAGTGGTCGGAAAACAACCTCGAATGTATAAACATCAACGGTTGTTAAAAATTTATACATTTCCTGTACATTCAAATATAGAATAGACGGAAGTGTGAAGTCCCTTCTGTAGTATATTTTAAGTAATGTCAATCAATTGAATAAAGTTAAACACCATATTCCACAGATGAAAGGTCTTACATTTATTTCAAAAATCCTGAAAACGGAGGTTTGTCACGACATCTTACATATACATTCGAGGTCGTTTTTGCGCTAATCGGAAAGCCCCGAAAAGTTGCAAGTGGTATGAAGTGCTACTCGTACATAAATTCTTACGTATTCTCCTTGACCTTCAAAAGCGTCGGAACCGGGGGGGGGGGGCGGCTAGAGGGACTCCCCGAACCCCCACTTTTTTGCAAATAAAAGATATAAAGTAAGCATTGAAAATTGGGATTTACCTTTTTTGTTGGTTAAGCCTCCCAACTTTAGATTAGCCCACTTCCACCATCAATTTGCTTCCGACGCCCATGCAAGATGTTGTAGGGAGAAGGTTGCATGAAAGAAGTTGAGCCTGCTGCCTCATTGTGTTTGTATGTACTTGCTTGTATCAAAATTATTTAAAGTTATTGTATATTTTAAATCAATTCAGCAATGCTAGGGATGGGTGGAGCTGCGAATGCCCATTTGATTATGATGATTTTTAAATACTTCATGTTTCCCTTTACATTCAATTGTATTGATCAGTATTATGAATGATCATTCTATCTAATTTTATGCGGACTATGATTGAATATATTTAACTCAAACAAAGAATTATGGTATTTTGAATTTAGCTAGTTTATCCCCAAGCGACCCAAATACAACAAACACATTTCAATCATTTGGGAAGGAAACAGACATAGAGCAGAAAAAGTTTGAAGAAGCAAAAGATGGTTTTTATTTGCCATATTATGGATTCATCGCCATGCTTGGTATGATACCATTTGTTGGGTTATTACCATTTCTTTTGAAACGTCTTTGCAATAAAATGAAAAGTGGATCGCCTAATTACCAAGATATCCAGGTTCCAGTAGCGACAGAACAGTACCAAAGAATTAATTATCGCAACAGTCTACAAAGCCAAGAGGAAATAAATCAAAACAATTCAGAAATAAATCAATATGATGAATGTTTATTCACAGGAGTCCAATCCACGAGTGTTGAACAAAATGTCGTTTCGGCAGTAAATTACTTAAATGGTTAGAATCAAACTTTGTGTAATGTGACTTAATTAAACTTAGTAAATTTGTTTGAAAATTCAGATTACTCTTTTGAAAAAACTTCATCTTCATTCCATTTAATTTAATCTAATTTCAAAAATGTTGAGTAAAACCATATTAAGTATAAATACACACACACACACACACACACACACACACACACACACACACACACACACACAATCACAGAGAGAGAGAGAGAGAGAGAGGGAGAGAGAGAGAGAGAGAGAGAGAGAGAATATATATGTCTTATTCTTTTAAGAAATGTACAAAGGTTTTCTTCTTCTTTTATTTCTCTTGGCAAGCTTTCATATTTTTTTTTTCTTGAAAACGTGTAAAATAAAGCACCGGTGACGGTCTACACTTTAATTAGATTTTGTTTGGGATATATCGGAATAGATATAACAAATGTGTTAGTAAAAAAAAATAAATTTTGAGAATTCATGAGAATGTGAACTACGACTCTTCAAACATGCATATAATAGATATACATTTCTACTACTTTTATTGCCTATATCAAAGAAATGCCGCGGACATTATTCTTCAATAAAGGATAGAGATAACAAACGGTATTCAATATCAGAGTCCAGAGTATCAGAGTAAAACAACTCATAATAGGAGCAGAGCAAACGATGACCTCTCAAACATCAGAGGCTGGATCAGGTGCCATGGAAGAATGAGCACCCCCTGTCAATTGGTCACACCTGCCGTGTGCCCCTTGTGTGTTCCTTGTCACGATCGAGAAATAACGGAAAAATCCGTCGTCAAATAAAGGTATAAATAATGCACGAACGTCATTAAAAATTACCAGATCAGAAACATGAATCAAACTTGTGCAGTTAATGAAATGAACATTTGCGTAAAGAAACTCAGTCTGTATATTGCAGTAAGTAGCTGATAAATGTGGGTTTCTAAAGCTCAGCGGGACTGTGCCAAGGACCTTCCTACGCCGTATTTCCACTTTTAACCTCCTATTAATGCTTCAGAAGTTTTTTCTTCAAGATTAATCTCATTCTTTTAAACAACATTTCTTATGTATCAGTATATGGACATTCAACACTAATTTAAAACAATGACTTCGTTTCTAATTTGTTTCCCGATCCCATGGATGGTTTATTCCATAAAAAGACTAGTCCATAAAAAAACGCAATTCAACAAATCATGGTCTCTAGATTCATGTTTTCATGTATTATATGTCTCTGTTAAGATGCACACAATAAAAAATCAAGAAACCAGTGTAAAATCTTGGATTTTCTTTTCACGTACATTTTACTGAATAGCTTACCTTATACTTGAAACTAATAACCATTTCTTTTATTTCATCCTTCACGGTAATAACTATAACCTCCAATATATGCCAGTGAAAGTGTATGTCAGAATCACAACATGAAGACTTGCGAAGATAGGTGGATGTTGGCGAAAGTCTCTTCACTTGTCTAAATAGAGTGTAGCACACGGCGGGTGTGACTAGTCAGCAGAGGACGCTCATTGTCCCATAGCGCCTGATCCCACCTCTGAGTTTTGGAGGTCCGTGTTTGCTCTGCTTCTATTTTGCATTGTTTTATTGGATTTTTAATCTTGAATGCTATTCGTTATCTCTAAATGTTTCATATGTGTATATATAGAATTATTTATATGCATATAAAGCAAACTAAGAAACAGGGATTTCATGTATTTCCTCAAGCATTTAGTAAATATTTACTTTTTGTTTAACAAAAACAAATACATGTGATCACTGAAATAGAATTATCTATCCATGATTCCCCAATCATTTCATGTTTTTACTGAACTGTGCACGAAGGAATTTCCTTTGTTTTTAAATATATTTAATTTACGTGCAAATACGAGTGCATGCTTAAGAATCTGTAAATTTTATTCTTTTGTTTTTAATGCATTCTTTTTCTACTTAAAATGCTTATTTCGGGAAAGATTTAGTGCAGTGTCTTTCAGTTCTTCAGCTATCAAGGATGAATTAAATAATTTTACGGTTGTACCACTGAAATACTGATGTCAGCATAATTCATTCAATTTTATATATTTTTCAAATTATATTAGAATTTTCAGATAATAAATAAGGAATTGATTTATATGCAAATAAGTTGATTACATGTATAAAATTGATTTGCTAGAAAACTCCATCAGTTTTACAGTATCTATATCTGAGCAGCCAACATGACTTTTGAATATACTAAGATAGTGAGTGAAATAAACTGTTTTTCACCTTTCTGCGTCATATTATAGAAAACATGCTTTAAAGTAAAACAAAAGTAAAAACGTGCATGCCAGGAACTTCTTTGGACTTTAGAAATAAAGTCAACGGTTGATACATCATGTATAACTTACATCATAACATTTTGAGCTAGACCTGTATAAAACTGAGTAACACTCAAAGACCAAACATTCAACCAATCAAACATCCTAACTAAATCCACCCTACTAGTGTACCCCAACCGAATTTTAATGTTTTGTGTTCCAAAAACTATGAAACCCGAGTGGTTCAAAGTAGTTCTGACAATAGCTTCATGAATATTAAGCAACATTACATGGAGAAAATGTAAACCCTTAACGGAAAAGTGGATAGGAAGCCACTAGCCTAGCACATGGAGACATAGCAACAAAAAAGTTATGTTGCGTATCAGTTTTAACTACCCCGAAAATATCTTTAGAAATGCAATTTCATTTTTTTTTAATTCATTCAAACATTAATACTATAAGTTTTCTTAATGACAATATTATTTGGAGTCATGTGTTGAATTTCATTTAAAAACAAATATATTTGCATGGGAACTAGAATTATATTGACTTCATTGGCGTCAGATAAGCATTTAAGGTAGCAACATGGCTTTTACAAATCAGTGGAATGAAAACTGTATTGTTGGTTGTCGAATACTATAAGAAATTGACGCTTTGAAAAAAAAAAGCAAATTTAAGGGCGATCGGAAGGGCACTAGGGACATTTTTGTCCATGTATTTCGTAGATAAAAGGCTGTATCCATTTATTCTAATATATCCATGCTCACATACATGTCGATGAGTAAAATTGTCAAGCTAGCCTATTTCCTAATCATTGTTTTCTCCCTCGTTAAGTCCTTCAAAAATAAATCTTTTCGTGTCTAATTTGAAAAACAAATAGCTTAGGTAAGGTGCGTTAGATACAAGATCGAATTTATATGTAGTATCAACAATAATAATAATTTTCAATGACGTAAAAGTAACAATATTAATTAACACCTACACTGTACATCGGCAAAAGAAACATATGCATGTACAGTAAATGCATATACTAATTATCTGAAAATATACATACATGTACAATATGTGTTGTCTATTTCTTAGGGCGGGGATGGGAAGGGAAAATCTATGTCCTTAAAATCTTGAAACGAACTTTGAAATGACAAACACACGCCTTGAATACTATTTATAAAATGCACGTAACCACTCGTACATGCAAAAATTACTATGAACAGATTTGACATTTCCGTAATACAGAACTCTCAACAGGTCTGGACGATTTCTAAATAAGGAAGTCAAGAACGATAACCGTGAATTGCTATCAATACACAGAATAAACAAGGCACTAATCCTTCTGACCAATCAGATAACAGCATTTAGACAAACCCATGAGAGAATAAATTAAACACGTGGTTTTTAAGTTTTTTGCTCAAAAGATTTTTTTAGAACAAACTTTTTGTAAACTTTATGCGCATTTGGAAATAATATTATATTTATGACAATTCTACCGTGAACAAACATGACTTGAAAGCTTGGAATACGTTTTAAGTGGGATAAAAAAAATATGTCTCTAGGAGTTAGCAATCCCGAAAGTTTACTTACGTTAAAAAAGTGATATAAATACGGTAAATTTTCAGTTTTTAGAGCCTGACATAAAACTCTTATCGAAAAGATAACAGTCTTTATATTATTTTTGAGTGTTTATTACAGAATACTAGTAGTCTAATGGCATGCAGTTTCTGATATGCGAGGTAAGATATTGAGATAAAACGCATTCATGTATAATTACAGGATTCTCTTTTCTCCACGTTAATTAAACGCCTAATCCTAATGCCCATTTAAAGTCTGCATAGCTAAGTATTCGGCATTCCTGAAACCCGTGATAATGCAAAGCTATATGTGTATACTCGGAGTCTCCATACGATAAACACGTGTGTGAGTTGATCTATACACATGGAATTTAAGCATTATCGATGAAAATCGGACGGCTAAACAAAATTATATTTACCATCATATAATATATTCTGGTAAATGTTATAATTGAACTTGATAAAAACTTGTTGGTGCGATCTTTACCTCTGTAAACGATAACATTCTATCGTGCATTATTTTTTTTTCTTTACCGAGATAAAATGTCAGGTTGTTCACGGTAAAAATGTGGGGAATACCTTATTCTTCAAAAGTTTTCATCTTACTTCTACAGATTTTTTGTTAAAAAAAATCTTTTTGAGGAAAAAAATAAAAGCACGTGTTTATCTCTTTGTTCTGTTAAAATATGTTTTGGGGTGTGTAAAAATGCTGTTGTCTGATTGGACAGAAAACTAATTACGTGTACTTGATGTACATTTATAGCAACTTTCGGTTATCGTTCTTGACTTCCATATTTAGAAATCGTCCAGAACTGCTCAAATACGTAAATAAAAGTCTTGACCCTTTGACTTTGACCCTCGAGTTTGACCCATTTCTAAATATTTTAATCTTCGTCATAAATTCTAAACGGTTAGGGCTAGGGATTCCATACTCTACATATGTATTCAATGTGGCAAGATCTTTCACTGATTACCAATTACCTTGACCTTTTGACAATGACCTTGGAGATTTTTGTACTTATTGAAAAAAAACTTTAATCTTGGCCTACTTTCACATTTCAGAATTGTTTTTCCAGTGAGAATTCCCTGCTTTTGGTACCAATAAATGAATTGCATATAAGAAAAATTTAACCTTTGCCATGCCATACGGGGGCATCAGTGTTTAACACCACACCTTTTTCTAG